GGGGGGTAGCAGGGTGGTTGGTGAAGTCGTGGTTTGATGGTAAACCGCCTGGGGATAAACACTGAAGCCAAGATTCAAGCAGAAATCAACAAGAGGAGCCCTGGTGAGAAAAAATAGCTTGTGGTGTTGTGTTGAAAACAACTGAAATATGTGATAGTAGTCAGAGAGGTGAGAAGAGAAAATGCTTTGTTCTTTGTCTTTGAGTAAGGATTCCTAATCCGGTATGTCAACATTGCCCGACCCTCCACCACCCACCCTTTGTTTCTCGCTCCTACCGCCCAACCAAGTCTTTGTTGTTCCCACAGTTGACCGGATTGGATAAAACAGACTCACCACATTGTTTCCTCGATGCAAGCAGCTCCTCTTTCCATCTCAGGGGTTGTTCCCAACCACCTCACCCAGTTTTGACCCCCTTTGTCTGCCAAGTCCATGTATACAAGCAGTCAATTGTTTAATCACACACTACATCCCTCCAGTCAAGTCCTCACTTCCCGTTTAAATTTCAAACGCCCAATGTCCGCTTAGATGATATAAACGCCCAACTTCCACAGGATCAGAACCTCCCCCTATCCATCTATCCACCCCCAAGCAAAAATGGCAACCATAATAGTGATACAAGATATAGTAGTCATAGGCTCAAAACACTAAAAATAATTTCCACTGAACCAAGAAATTGACTTTGATTTCCCCCCTCCCCTTTTTCCCTTCTTCAGCGCTAAAAAAAAAGAAGAGAGGGGGCTCGGCCCAAAAGAAAAAAAAAGAAAAAAAGGAATGATTACAAGACAAATGGTATATAATGCGCCCCTCCGTCAAAGTGACTATTGCTGTAGTAAAAGATTAATGAGAGTATATATAATATTAGTCACACTTTGGTATCATTCGTTTGCCCTGTGAATCCTCATCCCTTGTTGTTGTTTTTTTCTGGTAGTGGTAGGGTAGCGTGGGTGGTGGGTGTGTTTGGTAGGTAGGTGATTTGGTGTGGTCTGGCCTTCTCATGAATGATGATGCGATCGGTAAAAGTCGGCGGAAACCTCGTCTTTTTCTGGTCGTGTGTGTGTGTGCCCGGCACAAAAGTTGATATTCGAGGAAATTGGTAAAGAGTGTCTTTCGTGTCAGGCGCCATTTCTATTTCATCCCCTCTTCCTTACTCTGATTTCGTTGTGGTCGTGACATCGTAGGTCGGTCGTGGTCTTATCATACACTGTCTCGCTGGTTCTGCGTGTTCGTTTAGGCAAATGCACCGACAACGGACATGCCGGCAGCTACAAGACAGTCAGCATCAAACAAGAAATGAGAATATGCTCTGATTTCTTACCTCCCAGTAAAACCCACAAGAAGGCGTCCCTCTTCTGCTTCTTGGTCAAGGTCCTGTCCGCCTCCTCGGACAAGAAATCCTCAGCCAACAGATCGACAAGAGAAGCGTACAAAAGAAGACCAGACGAGCTACGGTATGCGGGTTAGTGTTCGAAATGCTATTTGGAAACAACGGCACTCACATGGCATTGAAAACACCAACAATAATCAACCCGAATGCACTGTTGGGATCATATGAATCCTTCACCATCAAGCCAATAGCCTGCCCAATTGGGCAAGTGCAACCAAAAGCAAGCACCAGCATCCAAGGCCTAAGACTGCCCTGCTTGTAGGGGACAGCAGCAATTCTGGAACCAAGACCGAGACCCTCAAACATCTGGTGGAACAGGATAGCGACCAGGAGAATAACAAAGCCGTCAATGGTGATGCTGATGGTCATACCGACAAAGACCGAATGAAACAAGATACCGCCCTCCAACAAGGTAATATTCATCGACATCTTCTTGAACACGGCCGGATCGACAGGCTTGCCAGTCTCGACATCGATATACGGGGAATCGGCAAGGGACGGGGGAGGCGCAAGCATGCTCATGCGTTTCTCAGCTTCGGCGTATTGATGTTGTTGTTCCTTCCTCAGGGCCGCATGGCTCGACTTGATCATGTTGACCATCTCCAACCGCTGGCGGACATACTGCTCGTAAAAGACCACAAACCAAGGCGGCATCTCGGAGCGAACCTCCAATTCGTTGATGTCGTCAAAGGGGTTGTCGCTGCGCGGGTAGGTGTTCATCTTCTCGCCGTACAGCTTCTGCGCCATTCTCTTCTCGTAGTCCATATCCTCAATCTCGAACTCGCTGTAAGCGGTGTATCTCGGCGGGCGAGACGGAGCTCTCTTGTGGTCGGGAGCGTGTGTGTGTTGGTAGGCCGGCTTGGGCTCTGGCTGTGGAAGGGCCGGCCCAGAAGCCTCGAATCCCATCGCACCTCCGTGGGAATGGCCACCCATCTTGGCATTGAGATACATCTCCAGAACAAAAAGACAGAACATCGAGCCCATCATGATGACACCAGGCATGGCGGGATACTGAGTGGTGAACAAATCCGGAAGACATGGGTCTGTCAGGTTACCGAACGCAACAGGGAGAAGCTGTGGTCTGTCAGAAAACGCTATTTTCATGAGGCCACAGACCCACTTACATGAACGAACGCTGTGGCGATCAGAACACCAGTACCAAAATGCTTGCAAGCGAAGAACACCGAGGTAGGCACCTTCACCCACTTTACCTTCTTGGCCACCACTGGGAAACCGGCACCAAAGATCGAGGCAGCCAGCACCATGACTGGAAGACAAGTCAGCCTATGCATCCGTTAAATCTCACTTGGACACAGAACTTACAAAGACCCGCGACGTGAAGCGGGAGGTCATACTCTCCGACCTCCTCGCCGCTCCCACACTGCGGCTTTTCATCCATTTTTCTTATTTTTTTCCGCGTCAAGCGGTTTCGGTATACCAGTACCTCGTGTGTTAAAGACAGAACGACTCCAGGTCTATCCCAAAGAGAAGATGAAATCAAGAGTGTACGTAGAAGAAACCGCCCGGCAGTTGAGAAGAAGAGAAAGGAGACTAGGAAAGGAAAAGGGGCGGGTTGGGCGCGAAATGCACCATCACCGGGTTGAGGCGACGACGATGCAAAAAGAAGAGAAAGAAGGAGAAGAGAGAAAAAGTAAACAAAAAGTGGTAGCGATAGAAAGAAAAGCTTATGTCCTCCTGAGGACCAAAAGACATGACAAGGGTGGGAAAAGAGCCAAGAGTCCAGAATCCGAGTTCGAGATACTGCCGTTGCTCTTTAGTAAGTACGATTTCCAAGACCGCACCGTGGATCAATGGGGTAACACCACGGCAAGATCTGCCGCGACTCATGCCCCGAGAGAGCAGCAGCCGAAGAACCGAAAGGCGACATGGGCATCCACGCCCAAGTCTGTCACAGACAAGAAGGCCAAGACACGAACCAATGGACTAGCTCTGTGATCAAAGATAGCTGGGATGAACGAGTCCATGCAACTGTCGCTCCCAGGTTTCTGACGACCGTGAGACTCTGGCTCAAGCTGATCGTTGCACCAAGCAATCCAGCCTAGACTTCAGCTGGAAACCAAGTCGTAGTCCTCTCGACGAGCATCTGGAGCCAAACAAGGGAGACAGGGAGGCCATGTCTGTGTAGCAATGGTCAAGCTCAAACTGGAGCCTCGGTTTGAGCTTGGCAAAAACCTAAAACGGATTCGCAGAGACGAGTCGTCGAAGAGCCTAGATCTGATTACTGGTAGCCAGTGATAGCCAGTGATAGCCAGTGATAGCCAGAGGAAGGGAGCATTGTTTTGTTCGAAGAAGGGAACAGAAGACGGTGTGAAACAGGTTCCACCTTCTCCTGGCGACTGTTGAAGCGTTCAAGATTAAGAGTGACACTCGGGCATTTTTTTCAAGATATCAAGAGTCCATGATGTCTCGGTATGCTGCCGAATCTGTGGCGTGGCAGTGCAATCGCAAACACTCGAGAGCCGCAGATCTCCAAGGAGACGGTGCAACTCTTGGGTGCAACTCTGGCAACTCTGTGCCGGTCATCATCTTTCTCAAAACGTCCAATGGACGCTGATTTGGTCGTTCACTGGAACCATCGTTGAGCTGCTTTAGACAAGTCGCCAAAACCTGCCCTCTCACCCCAGAGTTGGGGCAACAGGAGCCGAAAGAGAGGGGTTCAGCACTGACCGCTTGGCAAGGAACCCCTGGAGACAGGGGTTCTCTGCAGGGTGCTGTGACAAGACGGGGAGATCCGTGCAATCGTGGGGTTTGCTCCTTGGCCCAAGTCTAACACTGGCCCTGCGCGAGAGATCATGAAGGATTGCTATATAAAAATACAGTTGTTCGTGTTCAGTCCAGGTTGAAGTTTTGGCCGGGAAGCTCGAGTATTTAGCTGTTGTCCAATTGCTCTCTGTAGTATACGTCCAGGCAACAGCTGGAGAAGGTGGCAACTGTAACTGGTGAAGCGGAGATCTTGCTAGATGGTGGTGCATTAACCGTTAGGGGTTTCCGGCTTCCGCCCGGTTGAAACATTCCACCAGCCAACGGCGACGGGGGACTCTGGTGTAGTGGCGCTTTTGGTCCCGATGTCACCTTGTCAAGTGACTTCGTGGCCCGTCCATGGAATATTCTGAGGGCCTAGGCTAGAGCTCGGAGCTTGTACCGTGGAACCCAAAAACTGGATGCTCGGCACAGAGCTTGGTCTTGGAGGAGGTGGTGGTCTCAAGAGACGAGCTCCCGCTTGATCTTTCCCCCACTAGACCAACAAGTCGCTTTCTCGGCTACACATGCTGTAAACAGTACAAGCTTGAGCACCAGCCGCTCCAGAACTCATAAGGGGTACATAATCTCGGGTGGCTGTGCCGTTTTCGATACAGTAGTGTCGGTGGTGATGTGATGGTGATGTGAATGGAATTGTAAACTTGACCCTTTCTTGCCCAAATCAGGAATGGGTTGGATGTAGGTTGTAAATGTGACATGGGGAAATCCCGCTTGGTGGATTGAGGCCGCTCTCCTGAGTTGTGAAATGGCTGGTTGCTCAGTCCTATAATACTGTCGCCGTCTCTGGCGCATCTCTTGATAGTTCCTGCCATAGGATTTCGATTGTAATTCAAGCTTGTCGAACCCAACCGTCCCACTTCAGACCCAAGATCGACAGTCCAATGGCAGCCCAGGGCACTTCAGACGATGGCCGGCCGGCAGGTACGTACCCATCTGAACCTCGAAATCATGCTGCAGACAGGCTTGTCTTGTCAAGTCGTAGGCTTGAACATCATGAAGCTTGGCAGTCTAACACATGGTAACAGGAGCCAGCCCCCCTGAAAATGCACCAGCTTCCACCTCCCCCGAGATCCAGTCGGATGCCCAGCCCGGTGCAGAGCCAGCCAGTACAGCAGCTGAGAAAGAAGTCGCCATTCCAGCCGGTCCAACCAGACAAGCCACGACAACCTCGCTCGCGGATCCTCTCGATATTGCTAGGCACCGTCGTGAGAACATCAGTCAGAAGCAGATGAAGATTGAGCATCCTAAAGGCAACAAGCGGAGACTCAAGAAGTACTATGCCCAGCAGAATGCTCTTATTGACGACTTCCTGGGTGCCGATGATGAAGAGCAGGTTGCCATTGAGAAAGATGCGAAATATGCCCCCAAGATCAAGTTTGCCATCAGGGGCTCCTTCATCATCAACTTTTGCCTGTTCGTCATTCAGCTGTATGCCGCCATCTCAACCGGATCTTTGGCTCTCTTCGCCACCACGGCCGATGCTTTCATGGATCTTGTTTCGTCGTTCGTGATGTTGATAGCCTCGTGGCTTGCTGCGAGGCCCAGCGTGTACAAGTATCCTGTGGTAAGTTGACGTGGTGGTCCCTGATGCAGAGAATTGTAGCTGACAATAGGCAGGGCCGTACAAGAATAGAAGCCATGGCCATCATTCTGTTTTGTGCATTGATGACTACTGTTGCTATCCAGCTGTTGGTGAGTTAGCATCTTGAAACAAAGTGTCAGGCCACAATATGCTTACAATGTCGTAGATTGAGTCTGGCCGAACACTAGGGGCCGGAGCGCCAACAGAATCCGAGGAGCTTCATATCGTCCCACTAGTCTTCATCGGTGTTGCCAGTATGTACATCGCATTCGGTCAGGTCATGAGTGGTACTGACAGCTCATAGTCTTTGCCAAGGGTAGCATGATGGTGTACTGCTTGATGTATCGCAGGTTCCCAACCGTGTTCATCTTCTACATCGACCACCGCAACGACATTGCCATCAACAGCTTCGGTTTGATAATGGCGGTCGTTGGCGAAAAGATTGCGTGGTACCTGGACCCCATCGGCGCCATCCTCGTTGCGTTGATCATCCTGTTTTCGTGGGTGTCCAACGCCTTTGAGCACATCTGGCTGCTGGTGGGCAAGTCGGCGCCCAAGGAGTTCATCTCCAAGCTCATCTACATGGGCGTGACACACGACGACAGGATCCTCAAAGTCGACACATGCCGAGCGTACCATGCCGGGCACAAGTACTTTGTCGAGATGGACATTGTCATGGACGAGGGGCTGCCGCTAAAGGTGACGCACGACGTGGGCCAGGACCTGCAGCGTAAGCTCGAGGGTCTGGCTGATGTTGAGAGGGCGTTTGTGCACGTGGACTATGACCACCACCACGACGTCAACGAGGAGCACAAGCCCTTGTTTGCGCCCAAGAGCAACGTCAGGCGAAGCCTGAAAGATATCATCCTGTTCAGGAAACCGAAGATGGCCGCTTCCGGAGACTCGTCAAGCGAGACGACCGCCACTCAATGAGGCTCGTAGGTGATTGTAGGATACACACGATGGGATTGCATTTAGGCTGGCGTTCAGGGCGGGTGTATAATATACGATATATAGATGCGTGCTTCAGTCTCTCAGTCTCTCAAGATGTAGCGAGAGAGTTTGATGTTTCAAAATTCAAAATTGAAATGAATTGATCAGATATTTCGGTGTGTGCTCAGCTCAACTGAGGTTCATCCGCTCTTTCCCTTGATGTTTCTCAGGGAAGGTCCACCCCTGATGGCCAAGCTGTGGAGCTGTGGTGGACAAAGCACAGGCCTTCATCTGGCCAGTGCTTTTCAACGGTGGGCTGATTATCAAGCCAGTGGAGAGAATCGTGATTCCAACGTTTCTCAGGTGAGCTTCAGCAAAGCAAAGAACAGCTCCAGATCAGCTCCGCCATTGCCGGCGCAAAGGCATAGCCATGTCCCTCTTTCAGCTCGGGCTGCGTAGAGCAGCTACCCAGCTATCCAAATCTTCATTCGCTTGCGGTCAATGTCTATGTCAACAGGCATCACCTGCCCCGCCATCCCACATTCTCAAGCTCGTGGCGGCCAGAGCTCCGGCGATCCGTAGCTATGCCACCAAGACCAAGTCCCCCATAGCCTCCCTCAGCAAGAATATCCAAAACGAAAAGACTTCGAACAAAACCTCTGAAAAGAAATCCTCATTCCCCGAAACCAATGCCAAATCCGTTGGGTACTGGCTTCTTGGTAGCGCCGCTAGTGTCTTTGGTATTGTCGTCTTTGGTGGACTTACACGGTTGACCGAGTCCGGGTATGTCGTCTGGCTGCGTACTTGGCTGTCCCCGGAGACACCAGGCTGACATATAGTTCCGCTGTAGTCTGAGTATCACAGAATGGAGACCCGTCACGGGCTCACTGCCGCCCATGTCCGCCGAGGACTGGGACTCTGAATTCGAAAAGTATCGCGCCTCCCCGGAATACAAGCTCATCAACCCCCACATGGACCTCGACGAGTTCAAGAAGATCTACTTTATGGAATGGACACATCGCCTCTGGGGCCGCTTCATCGGCCTCTCCTTCGTGATCCCGACTATCTACTTCATCGCTCGCCGCAAAGTCACCCCACGGATGGCTGCCAACCTGGTCGGAATTTCTGCTCTTATCGGATTTCAAGGCTTTATTGGTTGGTGGATGGTCAAGTCTGGCTTGAAGGATGATCTCTTTGCTCCCGGCTCGCACCCCCGTGTCAGCCAGTACCGCCTCGCCACTCACCTTGCCGCCGCCTTTGCCTGCTACTCCTGGATGCTTCTCGCCGGTCTCAGCGTCTTCCGCACCCACCGTGCTCTCGGCAACCCCGCGTATTATACCGGGCACTTCTCCGCTCTGAAGAACCCGGCCCTCAACATCCTCAGGCGCTCGGTTCTCGGCCTCACTGCTCTTATCTTTACCACGGTCCTCTCGGGCGCTCTTGTCGCTGGCCTCGATGCCGGTCTTATCTACAACGAGTTTCCCAAGATGGGCACGGGCTACATGCCGCCCAAGGCCGAACTTCTCGACAAGTTCTACTCCCGCAAGGAAGACGGCTCCGATATCTGGTGGCGCAACATGCTCGAGAACCCTTCATTTGTTCAGCTCGACCACCGCATTCTCGCCATGACCACTTTTACTGCTGTTCTCGCCCTGTTCGCCTACTCCCGCACCGGCCGTGTCCAGGCCGCCATGCCTCCCAACGTCCGAAAGGGTGTTTTGGGACTCGTTCACTTGGTTTCTCTCCAGGTCGCTCTCGGGATTACCACGCTTATCTACATTGTGCCTATCCATTTGGCAGCCACCCACCAGGCGGGTGCTCTTGCACTCCTTTCGGGCGCCCTCGTTTTGGGTCAACGGCTCAGAATCCCCAAGAATACTGTGGCGCTGGTTCAGAGGCAATTGAAGCAGGGTGCTCAGCCCTTGAAGACACAGGCGTTGAGCCAGAAGATGCAGGAGGTCGCAAAGAATGCTGCCACCAAGGCATAAAAAGGATTTTGGAAAAAAAGTCGTGTATAAAGATGTAAGACTATATATGACACGAGATACCCCCCCCCCCCCCCTAACTACATGATGACAGACAGGAGATAGGAGTCCATAGTTGTATCATATTTGTGCAAAATAGGAAGATAGAAAAGGGAAAGGAAATTCAACTCTGGTTTAAATCACGGGTATCTTCACGTGTACCTTTTGGGCAGTCGGGGTGTTTTACCGTTTCATAGTTGTTTAGGGGATGTTTGTCCGGTCAGCGTATCTTGTGGATGTCTCTGGTTCCTTGTTGTCTGAGCCGATATGCTGTGCCACGTTGTTGGTACCGGCGGATATGGAAAGGCAAAAGGACATTTAAAAAAGAGAGTTGATAGGGGTGCATCCCCCCTCCGGATCGCGGTGCAGCTCCCCCCCCTCCCCCCCAGTGGGGTTAGGGCTATATGCTATATATGGCCCCTGAATCTGACATGACATTCTCCAACGCCTTTTCCCCATCACTACCATCATTAACGACCATAATTGCCACGATATTGAACTATTATGTCTCTGTAAAAGCTAGTAGGTGTGTATTGCCCTTTCATTCCCCTTGCTGATGGTCTTCCGACACCTGGCTGGTCGCGCTCGTAGGTGTGAAAGCGAAGAGGTGGGCATGTTGATAAATCATAAATGCTAGATAAGGCTCTGTTTTCACGCCGAATTCGCTAGATTGAGATGAGACTTCTGATCCCATGGTATTTGCTCGAGGGTGGGGAGCGTTAGGAGGCCTGTCATCCAGGTGTTCATTAGAGGGAGTGTGGGTTGGTGGAGTTCTTCTTGTGATCTTCAAATCTGGTGTTCAGCATGGCTGAGAGACAGATCTCCGAATCTTTCTACACAGAAGATGATATGCGGGGTAATAAGGGGGTTCGGGACAAAACAAAGGGAGCTTACTGAGTATTGTACTGTGTGGCGGAAGCTGATCTGGGATTGGGGTCACTAGAGAAAAGAGGAAGTCTGTTTGCTGGGCATTGCCTTCCGTTTACAAAAGTTATCTACTCAGGTTTGGAAGAGAGCTATTATTTAGGTACTGTGATGCTCAGATAATACTTCCACATGAAACTCTGCTGAATTGAGTTGTTTCTACAGATTCTCAGGCGCATTCGACGACAACTCAGGAAATTTATCGACGGGGATTGCTGCTGAATGTTCTACGTAGCTAGGAATATCAGAACCTAGAATGCAAGTGAACATAGATCAGGTGGTTTATGCTTAATTCCCGGTGCCACAACGGTTTCTACGTACAACACCTCCGCTCCTGGAGCCTGCGGCCGTTGACATGAGCATGGTGTAGCCTTCCGTGTTGACCGCGGGACGGGAGCGACCTTGTTTCCCTGGCATTTGACAGTATGTATTCTCGGCGTTGAGACTGTTTCTATTTTGAAATGAGGCATATGGGATCTGGCGTGAGTTTCAAGGGTCTTGTATGCACAGTCCAAGACATTCGAGGGTCTATACGAGGCATGTGGCATGAAGAGCAATGGTTTGTCCATGATGACCCTGATTGTTAGAGGGTCCTCAGATAGTCCAAGCACACCCTAGTCACGGTTGACTGCTTAAAGGCGGCGACAGACATGAAGAGGCGACGGATAGACACGCGAACTACTGTGTTTTGGCATGTCAGTTCACGCGGAGCTGAAGACGTTGAGGCTACCTGCAGCATCAGTGCGCTGTTGTGCGACAGGCAGTGGTAGCAGGTCAATATCCTCCGTTATACACAACCTGACCTTCCCTTGCGCCCAGTACCATGGACAGGCAACGGGATGAAGTCGGGTCTATCGGCAAGTCAGTGGAACGAGTCACAGAGACTACTTTATTTGCTGGTCAGTCAGTGTGACTAGAGGGGAGGGAAAACGGTATTTGGCTAAACCCCACATGTTGCCTCCGTCTCCCCGAAAGCAGAATGCTGTTTTGGAGGAGATGGGCAAGTTGGGCGAATTGTTGAGGTGTGACAGGGTCCAAGACAGCAGCTTCCCTCCCTCTTGTCCCTTCAGTTTCAGCGCCACTGTAGTCGTGTCTGCTTTGGTGGCAGATAGCTGAGGCTTGAGCCAAGTCACAAAGTGTTTGACAGTTGACACATGACCCTGAAGCAGGAGGCTGACGGCAACACGCAAGTTGTGGAGGCGAGAGGCGACTTTAGTCGTTTCCGCCTGAAAATGGTCAGCTCTGGTGACACCGAGGAGATGGGCTTACGGTTCACATGACTGATCTTGAGGTTTTGTGGCCTGATGCAGCGTGTTGTCTACGTGAGCATCTGAGTATGTGAGAGAATCGAATCCAGAGGTCTGATGAAAGGGAGTGAAAGTGGGAAGTCAGACCACCGAAACCATGGTGAGCGCAGCCGTGGTCTCGAATTTGTAGGAGTTTCTTTGTTCGAGTACCTGCTCTTGACCACACTCCCAGGGTCCTTCTTACGTAAACCGAGGGTCTGGTCCCATGGAAACGGGAAGCGGGAGGCGAGGAATTTTGATGAATCTGCGAAACTGGCAAAGGTACCCGAGGCGCTGGGCTGGGATGAAGTGAGACGGGATGAAAAAGTGAGACGGGACGGGAGGGAGGGAAGGAAGCGGGAAGGCTTGCTGAGATAAGTCATCATATGACCTTCTTTCTTGTGATTCATATCTTGTCGACGTTCTTGGTGGAGAATAGGTAGAGCTGATGGCTCCTTATTTCGCTCCTTTCCATCTTGGTTGGTCAATGCATCATAGATTGTAGGCAGCGGTGAGCCAAGAGGAAGGCTCGAGGCAGGTTGGCTGCATTCTGCATCTTCAATCGAGCTTAGCTTCTTTCAAACAATTTCATGATCCAACGTGGACCTCCCAGAGCGAGTCTCGCACAACATCACAGCCTCAAGCGGATGACTGCGTTTTCGCCATAGACGCCAATTGTCACCGCAAAGTTGTTTGCTCCAAGAACTCGAGGTTCCCCGCAGCAGGCCTCGGTCAGCTGCACCGACAAAGACATCCATGATCACGGCCGGGTTACGTCAACCCGGAGGCCACCTCAGAACTTGAGGCAAAAGGTCTGGACCATCCGGTCTTCTTGCTGCTCTACATACGTTAGCGCGGCACAAACTGATTGGCATGCAGGTCCGGCCCTCGAGTTGTGATGTTTTGTTGCTCTATACCCTCCCCAGATTTCCTGGCAAACACCACGTTTGCCCTGTTACATATATGCGCCTCTTTTCTCTTCGGCCGACGGAAACACCAAGGGATATCCAAGCCTTGTCGAGATATCATCCAAATGTGAGGCATCACTTCCCTATCTCAGTGATACGAGAGAGACTCTGCATATTGTCAAATCACTAGTGGGGAAGCAGCCTTGTAACTTGTCTTACATGTCTCTACATGCACCAGTGCGCATCGTCTACACGCGACTTCCCGCTGGACACACTTCGGAGGGATGCGTGTGTTACGCAGGAGCCCTGGCTTACACATTTCTGTGACCTTGTCCCTGTTATCAATGTCTTGGTGTCCCCCTCTCCTTCTGTCTCGTTCTTCTCTTCAACAACATCAGAGTTGTCTCTGTACCCTGCTACCTCGCAGTATCCTCACGAAAACATTGCTACTGACTGCCTCTCGCAATTGGGTTCTAGATTCCCCTGTCGACAAGAGACGATGTTAGTCGTCTTGGCTCCGTGAGCTACGGTTTCCCGGCCGCTGAAGAGCACTGCTGTTATTAGACAGCCCTTCTTGCGTTGCCCCTGAAGAGTACCATCACCGCCTACGTTTATAAATACCTGTCACCAACTTTGAAGCTGGTCGCCATCATCACTCCATAGTCCGCAGCACACTTTGCTCATCCAAAGACAGCTAGCCGACGACTCTCGGTCACATCTCCTACTCCGCTCTTACTCCGAGCACCACCACTGAGGCAACAGTTACATATCCCTTCGCCTTCAACACAGCCAACCCCAGAAAATAGCCATAAATGTGTGTGCAATCTGACTGGGTGTTTACCTGCGGCCACCGGGCCTTTGCCAAGTTCGACAACTGTCCCAAGTTTGGTCGTGGTTGTTTTGGTCAAAACGGAACACATCAAGATGTGTATGTGCAAGATACATGCAGTGACTGGTAGGCTATCCCAAGCAAGCGAGCACTTGTGATGGCGGTTGACAAATAATTTCTTGTTAGCAAACTTCGACCACTTGATCCCAACCCGCAGGCCGTGTCGAACGACCCGTACAGGAAGAAGAGAAAGATCAGGTGAACATGCCGCTGTTGGCATGTTTGTAGCGAGTTATTGTTGCCTGGCGTTGGGGTATATGAGGGTACATAGTGGGATGCATACATATCGTAGGTGATCCTCACTCTTCACAAGACCGAAGGCTTGCTAATATGATGGGTTAGGTAAATAAGTGAGCACATGGTGTTATGATGATGATGATGATATAAGGGGTGGTTCAATTTGTCTTTGGAGACAGGCGAGAATTATAATGAGAAGCTCTTGCCAACTAGGTACTGTCCGCCTTGTCGACTTATCCGCCGTGACTTTGGTTGTGTCCATCATCTGCTAGCTCTTCCCAAGAGACCATACCTGGCATTCCTCGGCGTTACACTCCCCCATTTTTTTTGGTGCGTTCTGCTGACTTGTTTGCTCACAGGGTGACTTGTGGCTTGCATTCGAGATTCCCAACCACCAACACTACTTGCCTCGAGTTGCTTTCAGTGAGGGTCGTTTGTTGTTGGACGAGATCATACAAACCATCCCTCTGTTTCTTCAACTAAACCAACTAAGCCAGAATGATGGTGATGCCGAGTCCGAAATATGATCATACGGAGGTGGTTAGCAAGACTTGACACAGTTGGTGAAAGATCTTTACGTTGAAAGACTTTACTATCACGACACCAGCTGGTGGTGGAGATGAAGAATAAATATATAACGGGTATCATTTCCTCTCCAAGAGGTGAGATGTCTTGATATCACTACCGCCGCAGACACACACACACACACACACACACACACACACACACACACGCAACTGCAAAAAAGCAACAAAACATTTCAAGTGAATACACTCACTACCCAGGAGCTACACTGTGCATCCAATACAACTCACTATTTACCCTGCGGCCGCCGCGCCTTCCGCCAGTTGGACAACTGCGCAAACTTTGGCAGAGGCTGCTTTGGTCGAAACGGAGGCCATCAGGATGTGCATGTTCAAGATATCTGCGATGACTGCAAGATATAGCCTTTGGATCCGAACCCGGAGCCGAACCCTGATCCGTATGAGGAGAGTAAGGAGAGGGCTAGGAGGAAGAATAAGAAGGCTTAAGCGGGGGAGATGTAGCCTTTTGGAAGATGGGTGATCATCAAGGGGTTGTTGAGCTTCGCAGTTACGCAGCTCTTTGTTGTTGTTGATGATAGTTAGGGTGTTTAGGAGGCAGAAAGCTGGGGAGGTTATCTAGGTACTTAGATGATAGCTCTGTTCTCTTGACAAATCAACCATCTTTCGCCGCGCGTGTGTGTTCGTCGCCGATATCTTTACTATTGATCCAGGGCAGGACAACCTCGTCACTTCGACTCGGAGATATTGTGATGATGATGCAAAGCGAATGAACACAATGTAGGTGCCCTTGGGTGATCACTGGACGGTCTCAGCTTCAATTCACATGTCAGGGGTGAAAGTCTTTAAACTGTCTTCTACTTTCAACCGCTTGTTTCTTATCTGCTTTATAAAGCCAGCCCAACTTCGACTCAGGGGCAACCTACCTAGAGGGTGGCTTTGTTGTTGTTGTTGTTGTTGTTGTTGTGGCTGCCTGTGGCTAGGGGTTAGGGACTCTCTCCCCCCCTCCCTTAATATAAGCACCAGCAGTCATGCTGATCCCCAGATCTGCCGCAGAGTATAACTTATCATGACACTATCCATCAACACCCCCTACGCCCCACTTAATTATCCCTTTTCTCTGTGAAAAAGAAAGTAGATATAAGGGTTAGGGTTGGAACTACATTCACCCGGTTGGTTCTGTGATCTCGGTCTTGACCCGGAGTTCTTCCTCCTCCCACTGGAATATTGTGGATCTCGGCGCCAAGGCTGAACAAAACCTCAGATCACGATCCAGTAGTTTATCAAAAGTGGCGAAGTCATGAATTCAGGGTCCTGCCCCTTTTTCTCTGTCTTTGTTCCTTTTCTTTTTTGGCAAAGGCCGGAGGCCCGGCCAGGGCGGGACTGTTTGTTGTATCGGACCATGACACGATGTTTCCTTCCCGGTGTCTAACCAAGGCGCGACTAGCGAACGGGATATTAAACTGGTCGGCGATCATCCAGAGGCTACACTTGTAGGCAAATGGAATGGCTTTATCTTGTTTGTTTGTGAGGGTGCCCTTTCGGAGAGGGCTCGGGCAATGCAATGCGCCGCCCGCCGCCGCCGCCGGCTTTGACTGCAACGGAGGGGGCGGGGGCGGCTACGGAAAGAGTGGATTCGGCACACCATCGAAATCTTGGCTTCTCTTCCCCTCCCCCCCCAGTCGATGACGAGAGCGGGCACGTGGAAGGGGAGGCGGGTGCGCTACGAAAATGTTCAAGATGGCAACGACATTTGTCGATTCGAAGGGGGTGGTGTTGACCATGTTGACTCCGCTTTGTGGGAGGGATTGGCTTGGGTTGTGTTGTTTGATAGCCAGACAGGCGAGTTGAGGTAAGTGTGGATTTTTTGTCCAAGAGGATTATATTTCTGCTTTTTTGAAATTTTTTTTTTGATTTTGGCGATGTTGTGTTCGGCAACGGCGGCTCATCATGTATGTATCTTCTCTTGCTGTATGTATGTCACGGTGCCAATATCAGCCATCGGTTGTTTGAATCCTTCATGCGTGCATCGTCGCGCGCCGAACAAGAGGGGAAAAAAATGGCACTTATGCAAATGCAAGATGCAAGTGTACCTGAGCTATCGTATCGGTTGTTGTGGATCGGTTTCTTTTTTTCTTTTTTTCTTTTTTTTCTTTTTTTTTCCACCGTCCGGAAAGTGGGAGGCAGGGGGGAGGGTGAGGGGGGGGGGATGGATTTTGTCAAGGGAAAGGGTAGAAGGATGTTCGGGCCGAGGAAAGGGTTTCCCTTCCTCGCTTTCGTCCCTTCGGGCTTTGGGGTTCCGCAGAACCGCCTTCAGGTCTCTTATCTGATCGCGATCGACAGGGAATGTCGACCGAGGGTTTAAGGGTTTTCTCCATTCTTCAGCCCCTGGAGCAACAACAAGATCGAAGACGGGCCGGTGAAACAATAACGGCGACGGGGAAAGCGCGGCAATGGGGAGGTAGGTATAGGAATGCTGGATCTTTGGACAGATGTGTCATGTAATACGACCAAGACGGCCAGATACTTACTTGCCTGTGAACCCCGGGCAAAGGAGCTGTGTGTCGTAAAACGTAACTACCACTTGGCATTACACAGTTGACGCGAGGCCGTTGACCACGTCAAAGCAACTCTTTCCTTCTCCCGTATTCTCTCCCAGGACAGGGCATGTTGGCTATCTCTGCCCAGGTTAGTTGGGCAAACCATGACCTAAATCTCATGCCATGTTCCAGACTATCAGACCTGCCGGGCTTGGCTTTGATATAGTATCGGAGGAGGCTGGCACTTGGGAACCCTGGAAACTATTTGTGAGAAACGCAAAAGACGCCGGCCGATTCGCTTGCTCGTTTGTGACAAAATAGGACGGGCATTGATGGGTATCCAAAGTAATATGCACAAGAAAAGACAAGGCAAAATATGAACAGAGAGTCGAATAGCCAAAAAGGTCTTGTTTCAAATATATACTCGAGAAGTGAAGTAAAAACAACTTGATGATGCGCGTAATGAAGTCCTCACAGACAGGTATTTCCAACGTTGAAACCAAAAAAAAAAAAGGCACAAAATTGACAGCCCTCCAAGTCTTCAATGTAAAATGTAAAAAGCAAATTGTGCCTGCCACCAAGAACTTTTTTATCGTCTCTTTTAAATGCCATGTCAAAAACACCCAACCAAAAACCAGTTTGAAAATGCAACTTGTGCTGTCAAAAAACCACCAACCACCACCAGGGAGAAAAACAGCCCGAATAAAAACCAAAAGCCAAAGAGCGGGTAGAAGAGAAAAAGAAAAAAAAAAGTATTTGCACCTTGTAGATCATGATCCTGCCAGAGAAATGCATTCATGTCATCTTTTGTGTTTCTTTCATGCCCAAACAAGAAAACAAGAAAATCCCACCAGCGCCTGCCGTGAAAGAACAAGACTTCCAGAGCCGCCCCCATTCAACGAGAGTATAGAGTATGTGTGAAAACCGATATAAAAGAGCCCGACATGCAAAAGGAAATTCTCGAAACACAAAATTCGCCGCCGCGTTGAAACCATCGCTCCCTGCCAAATCTATAAGCGTTTGGGGTATCCGAGCAAGGCAAGAAATCCGTCGCAACGTTTCGTCGTCATCTGACCGAAAAGTCGTCGTCGTGTACAGAAAGTCCGAGTGCGTCTGCTTATTCGTGTGCGTATGCGTATGCGTCACTCGTTTGTCATTGGGCCTCCGCCCAGAAAGGCCCGAGGTTGTTCTCTGTGGGGGAGTCCGTCATGTTGGGAAGTCCGTGGTAGTCGTTCATCCAAAAGGCGTCGTCCTCGAGCGCGAAGCCACCGAAGCCCGAAGCGGCGCCGGCCAGCAGGGTCGGGTCATCTCCGGCCATGGACGAGGTGGCGTTCATAAACTTGGCGCTAGTCTTCTTCATGAAGCCTAGTTCGTCAAACTCGACACTGCCGAGATCCGCACTGCCCATCATGCTGTGGGTGTGCCCGAGAAATCCACCCGTGGGGAAAGGGCTTCGGAAAGTCTCAAAGTCATCCAACGGGTTGGTGAAGAAGTCCTCGACCTCGGAAACCTCGCCCGAGTTGGACGTGGTCGTCGTCATGGTGAGCTGCTCCGACCCACCGAAGTCAAATCCACCGTAGCTTTGTGGTTGGCTGTAGCTAGAGGGGGCGAAATCGTGGTTGTTTTCGCGGGCAAACTCCAAGCCCTCATAGTTGTTCCAGTCGACCGAGGCCGCACTCAAGCCGGCGCTGAAAATAGGCTGCTCGTGGTCCGACATGTTGCCAAAGAACTCGGCGTGGTTGGCGACGTATGGCTGATACTTGCTGATCTGCGAAAGGTCAAGCGGCGGAAGCTGGGCAAAAGACTGCGAGCCTGTCATCAGGGGGGAGGCAGCTTCCGACCGGCTGTGCTGCGATGGCGGCATGCTGTCGCCGCTGATGCTTCCGGTCGCGGACGCGGTGCCACAACCTTCGACATCTCCAAGGAAGCCGTCCAACGAATGGTCGCCCAAGCTTCCCGTGCTGTGCATCGAGTTGACCCTGCTGAGCTGGTAGGGGCCGCATTTCTGCGAGACCTTGTTGTGCTTGTACGTCGGTTTGGGGTGGCCGTTGACTTCAAAGGCAAGCATGCCGTCCGAGCTGGTGGTGTTGGCGCGGCGACGAACTCGCGAGCTCAGCTTGGAGATCTTGTTCTGCGCGGCAGCAGCGCTGTCCGAATCCGACTCGGGGACGGTCTCGAGCCCAGGCTCCTTCTTGTGGCAGCAGGTGCAGCGGCCGCCATGGTTACAGCAGCAGCTCTCTGTAGGAAAGATGATACGAGTCAGAGGGAGCAAAGGCCTGGATCAGTCAGACGTGACAATGCTCACCCTTGTGACCCTCCACCACCGGTCTCAAGTGAATACACTTGTGTGTCTTCTCGCCGCAGTCGCACTTGACATGGGATGAGCGGGACTTGCGCATGGCCCGGCAGTGCTGGCATTGCGACACCGGCCGGCCCTTCTTGTTGATGTGCTGGAGTGGGCGCTCTGTTGTCGCACAGCTAGCCGTTAGCAACTGGGCTGTTGGAGATGAGATGAGGGACGGGTGTTTGGAAAGTTGGAGTAGGTGAGGGGCAACCGCCCCCCAACCACCGCTCAGGGGCTACCATCCAAGCTTCCGTTGTTGCGAGATGTTCCGGTGACCCTCGGCAGCAACCGGGCTCAGCCAAGCAGTACAATACGTAGTTGTGCATGTGCATGCAGAGCAGCAGCAGATAGCATCTGCACCGACGTCGAAAGAAGAACAGGAAAAAGAAACAAGGCAAAATTGACTCACCGTGATGCTGGCAGTTGCTGACCCGATGGCCCCGCACGCAGGCTTCGCAAGCCCACTTCTCGCCGTCGATGATCATGGTGGTGATCTGATCTATCTGATGTTTGATGTGATCCTTGGGAGTTCGAAGTCCAGTCCAGCCCAGGTGCAGCCGGCAGTTCGGTGCTGTACTAGGAGACAGGTATGAAGCAGGTCAGTTGGGGGAGGAGGAGCTGACGGTCCGTGATCCGGAGCGATATGGCCAATCCAGGAGCTGCACGGAAGCTGTTGCTGCGGTGCGCTTGGGAAGGCGGGCTGGAGCAAGCGAGTAGCGAGGTCGACTGTTGGTGGTTGGTGGTTGGTGAATGGTGGTTGTTGCTGTGTACTCGAGTTAGAGACTCATCGCTCGGGGCATGCTGGGTTCATATGTAAACATCTGAGGAAGATGCCGAAGACTCCGAGTCGATTTTGGGCAAGGCGACTCGGTCGAGGGGTCGAGGGAGGGTTGAGAGGATCCCAGAGACCAGGGAATGAAATAAATTTATGTGGGCTGGGTGGAGCCGGTTCGTTGAGAGAACAGCTGGAGGCGCCACTGGAAGCTGAGGCCGTGTAAGTGTGTGTGAATATCCAGGTGTACCTAGCTTGCAAAGCCTCGGTGGTGGCTCAAAATTGGGCTGCAGAGCAGAGGGCAGAGGGCACAGGGTAGAGGGCAGAGGGCAGAGGGCAAGGGGTGGGGTTCCTTTCAGGGCAGAGACCGGGACGGGATGACTTTGTCGGAACGAGACAGGACAAGGTTAAGTACCTTTTGGATTTGAACCTCACTCCGTAACGGTAACCCAGAATCCAACAACCGAATCTGCGAATCCAACAAACTCTTTTTTTCCTCTGACAGCTTCAGCTTCGGACACGGTCGGCGTCAGGGCGTCCCAAGGTGAGGTAAAGTGACGGGTCTCAGCTAGCTTAGCTTTGCTATGGGCTGGCTAGCTGCGGGCTCCAGCATGACGTGCAGCAACAGCAGCACAGAGAAAAAAAAAAGAACAACAGCTCGGTATCCGGTATATCCAGGTCCCAAGGTCCAGGGCAAACGTAATGCCGGCGGTCTGAGTAAGGTGATGGACGGAAATGCAGCGGGCGTCGGCGGCTGACGGGGCGCAACAATGGACGATGGACAGGTCTCTTGTCTACCGAGGGCAGAAACAGGAAGTCGGACTGGACAGCTTGTGAAGCGGTGCAGAGGCAATACGAAACCAAAGCCGTCTGAGAGCAAGATCCGGAGCAGCACCTCGAAGGGGGTGGGCTCCTTTAATGTGCTTTGGTTGTTCGGCCGCGGCTGGCGTGGGTTGTTGGAATACCCAAGGCCCAAGGCAAAGCCCGTCAACTAGTACACACAGTCCACACTTCCCATGGCCCATGTGGGACTCACCATTCCATTTTCCCCCCTCGCCGGATGTGTGGATGGATGGAGGGGGGATGAACGCCAGACTTGTTTCCTGCCCTGAACCCAGCGTGCCCAGAGGTGACGATTGACAGGCCGCAGTGGCTGCTACAAAGTACTTTTTCGTACATGCAGAGAGGTACTTGGAGGGACAAGTGCAAAGTCTCATATGCGTCTCTTGGTAGGCGAAAGACGGGTCGCGGGATGGCCTGAATGGGAATTAGCTGGGTCTGCTGCACATGCCTGTCGAAGAAGCATCAGCAAAGTTGGGGAGCAGGGGCCCCAGCAACGTGAGGGTTGCAACGTGCGGGTGGTTGCGGAGAGGGGGGGCAGAGCCTGGGGGCGTGGACGTGGGCGGCGTGATAGGATTGTCCTCTGGGTGTCCTAGTCAATAATGGAATTTAGCATCAGGTAATCGTCCTTGATTCCACTGGCCAGCAGCTTGCCCGGTTATGCTGACCTCAGTCTATCAGTTACGTTAGTCGACTTGATCCTCGAATTTCCTTCTTCCTTGCCCTCGTTCTGATCTATTCTCAGACGAGACGACCTTCCTCACTGGGCCAGCGAGAAGTGTTATTCATCAAGTAAGGAAGTTCTTGTAACCTTCCACCTTGATGTGCCTGAGGTGCCCTGGTTTGGCGCTGTTCTACTCTGGGAAGCTCGTTCAGCCTGGAGAGGGGCCGTACTCGATTTCTCGATCAGGTACTTTGCATCCACTCCACGGTTCATCCTCCATCGCACGTCACAGGTCGGAGCAGAGCACAAGAGTCTTGGGGTCTTGGTTGGTTGGATCCCAACGAGAGTCCCCCAGCCTCTTTTCCTTTGCCCATCCACCACCGGTATGTACGTACAGACCCCAGTGACCTCCCTCTTCAATTCTCGCAGAGTCATGGAGAGAGTCTGCAAATTCCTGACATCGGCCCCATCGGCCTCCCCCGGCGGTACTCTGGTTTTCTGGGAATTGCACACGACCTCTTTTGCGCCGAGCAGCGCCCGAATGTGCAGTTGCCGGAGGGTTCACGGCCAGACTGCCGTCTCTGCCTACTTCTGCGACAACAAGGGGTGAGCATCTCCATCTCCATTTGGCTGTTAGATCCGCGGCCTGGGGGGCGGATCGGCTGTGAACGACCGAGTTCCTCCCGCGATCACGGCTTCTTCTCTCCAAAGCCCTCCAACATAAAAAGCTCGGCGCGCATCTTTGGACGGGCTCACGGGCGCAAGTGGCATCGCAGTGGCATCCACGGGAAGCTCTGCGACGTCAGCTCCAGCAGCAGAGTGGGGTGTCGCATTCCCCACGCCGGCGCTTCTCGAGGATATGGGTAAAAGCCCCAATCAAAGGGAAAACAGAAAAGGCAGGCCCCGGTCAATTTCGACCTAGCCTGCCGCAAAAAATGGAATATGTAATTACCTACTACCTTATGAGAAACTAACTGGACTCCTTTCGGCTGCTACACTCTCGGTCTCTTGCTCTCGCTCACACTCTCCATCCCTCCTCGCTGATATCTCTATCCCCAACCACTGCCCTGTTCCCACCCGAGCCGCCCCCCCAGGACGGCCGTGGAGGGGTTCGCTTCTTCCATCACTAGCGTCCGATGCGGCGTTGACCATGACGCGCTTCTCTCCAAAAACCCTTGCGAGGGTTCGACCGATATTGCAGGGCTAGCACAGCAACAACCAGACTACCGCAGTACACACTCCACCACCACACCGAGCAAGAAACGGGCATCCACTCACACCTCATCTCACTTCACTTCACTTGACTTCAAATGACAAAGACTCTGTGGCTTACTACCTAGAAGACGCTCTCTGAGCTGTCACTTCCGTATCGTCCATGCCCTCTGCATGCAGTTCCTAGGCAGCTTCTTGTTGGGGACGACATACACGTGCTGCTTTACTTATACATGGCATAGCCGGTGCTTCCACTTACACCGCCGACAGCCGAAACTCAACAACGGCAGATAATCTGCAATATCTGTACGGCCAATGCGCAAGAGGCCACGACAGGCCGGCCGGCCGCTTTACGGACATTTCTCTTCTGCCATGCTCTGAGAGAGTGTACGGCTCGAGAAAGCTGCTGAGACTACCGAAATCGCTTGTGTTGGGCCATGTCTGCTGCGATGTTCGCTGTCCCACGGCCGCACCCAATTTGGGCCTTCGACATCCCGCGCCAGCCAGCCGACATAAGCCTATTCTTCCAGTCTGCGGTGCGTACAGCCTCACGAGAGCCCCCGGGGGGGGGGGGGCACATTTCTTG